TATGCAAATATGTACTAACCCAGGAATACATGATATACATAGATGTGAAATAGAGCTCCTTCCACCCTCATAACATATGCTATCTGCTTCTGTAGAATTGCTTGCTTAACCTAGATAACTCCATTTTACCCACTGCCTGACCTGCAGACTACCCCCCCCTTCTGCATGAGAAACCATTGATCTTCTCATAGAAACAAAAGCTGTTGCATAGAAACAGGAGACATACACAGTAAACTATTACATGGGAACAGGAACCACACACAGTGAACTATTACATGGGAACATACACAATGAAAAGTTGTACATTTGATTGCTCTAACAGCTCATTCTTGGCTTCTGTGACCTAGCTCTCTAGCTTGCTTTATGCACCTGGACAAACTTGTGTGCCAATGGGATGTAGTTTTTGCCTTTAAAAACCCAACAAAACCAAGGCATGATGCCGCTCTTCTTTGGTTGCTCCTTGGGAGATGGTCGCTGGCCAGCTGGAGTGAATAAACTGCCCTTTTCTGCACGAGTGGCATGTAAGTGCATTTCTTGTGGGAGCGTGCCTCACAACAGATGTATGTGTTTCAACTCTGTTCTTTCATTTTTTAACCATAAAGTGAGTCCTCAATTGATTGCTTGACTGATTACAACTTGCTTCTTCATGTGCAGTCTGTGTCCAGGTCTTTCTAAGCTGGTACCCCCAGACCTGGTGGAGGATGTGCTTTTTTGACATCTGTCTCGTCTGTGATGCTGCCTCACCTTCTTCACTCAGGCACCCGGGACTTGCTTGTTTCCTTCCTCCCTCCTGAGCCCTGTCACCACCCTTGCAGAACCTCTCTCAGATCCCTCCTTCCCTGAAAAGCCTTAGTCATCGCTTGACCCCTGGGAATTCACCTTCCCTGGAGTATTTGACTTTTACAAAAGCAAGGACCAAAGCCTTAGGTGGAAGGCATTGTTAACCAGCAGGCAGATGCAGACACTGTAGGGAGTGGTTAGGCACTTGGGGCACCCCTGAAATCCCACTGCTGACCTTTAGCTGGCTGTGATTCCAGAAGCCAGCCTAAATGTCCAGCCACAGAGCTCAAGGACCCCTGCGTTTCCTGGTCAGGCGCCTAGCAGAACCACCGCACCCAGTAAGGGGGCCCCTTACCTCCACGCTCCTCCTGTAGCCCCCACTCAGGTGCCTGGGAGATGAGCCCTGGGGAAACCTGAACCTGTGGCATTTGGGAAATGCAGACCTTGTTTGCAGAATACTTTTCTCTGGGGCATGTATTGTGTACTTTCTTTATGAGAAGATAATGGCCTTCTGATTTTTGACTTTGAGGTGGGCTTTTTCCACTTCTTTTGATTAGTTTTATTCAGCGTGCTCTTTAATTGTGTTAAGTTCAGTTCCTGAGGATGTTAGGCTCTGTTTCTTCCCTTCCTCCCTTTCCTTCTCCTTTTTGGTGGCTCTTTCACTGCAGTGTGGTGCAGGCATTCATTCCTGCAGCCTTGAATGCGCTCAGCAACAGCCTGGGTCCCTGCTGTGCCCCAGGCTCTGTGGTTTAGTGTAGAAAGCACAGAGGGAAAAGATGGACAGGGCCCCTTCTCCCCAGGGGCCTTCAGCCTGGGACATCCTGGATTGTCCAGTGGAGAAGGAAGATTCCTGGGAGGCCAGCAGCCAGAGGATTTTGACAGCAGCAGCAGGAATAGACATGAATCTCTTCTGCCCACATTTCCCAGCCAAGTTCTACCTGCTTCTCCATGATAACTGTGGTGTTTTGGTGGTGTTAGTATTAAGAAGGAAAAAAAAATCAGGTTGTTTAATCATAGAAGGATGAAAAGGAAACAAAAATAATCTATAACCGCAATGTCCAGATGACCCCTGTTGAAATTTTTTTTTTAAGTTAGTATGTGTACGTGATTAGAAATTTCAAACCAAATGGAAAGTATAAAATGAAAAACACAAGTGTGCTTACACACGTATGCACACACAGTGCCCCCCACTTGCCTGCCTTTTGCAAAGACAAAATGCAAATACATCCTTATTAATCTTCCAGGAGAAGTCGGGTTTGTGCCTTCATGTGTAGCCTTTGAGAAGCTTTATGTGAAAGAGACCCTCCTGAGTGCTCTGTTCTTGCTTTTTCATCCTGGTGATGTTTCTGTATCAGCACATGCAGGAGTAAAAAGACCTCAGTCTTCTTAACATCTCCGTGGATTCCTACTCTACAGACAGACAGACCGTAATTAACTAACCACTCCCCTATCAGTGGACATTTAGGTTATTTCCAGCTGTTTACTGGATGGCTACATTTTAAAGATTTGAAATTTCCCCAGTAAACATGCCTTCCCCCCTCCCACCAAACACCTGATCATCAAGAAAAGCAGATCCTTTTGGAAAGTTTTAAAATTCATTCTTACAGTTGATTTTTTTTTTTTTTTTTTGGACGTAGGCAAGGAAAGGAAAATAACTATCATGATGGATGCTTACTGTTTTGCTGAGTTGTGAAGGAACTTTATGTCTGTGATTTTGTTTGGTTCTAGGAGGCCAGAATTATTCACCCCGTGTTTTAGACAAGGAACCTGAGGCTTAGAAAAGGCCCCACAGCCCTCGAAGGGTCCAGCTGGCTGGGGTACAGGCCACTCTGACTGGCCCTGGGCCCCAAGCACTTCGTTTCCCTTTCCTTGGTTCTGCCAGTTGTTCTGCTCATCTCAGTTCACATAGCACTTCCCATATCCAGACATGTGACTTTATGCTCATAACTTCCAAACAGGGGGCGTTTTACTCTGCGTTTTGTTTCCAAAAGTTCTGATTGCTGTGTGCCATGATCTGAAATTCACTGGGAGCAGGCAGTGATGGGAGGAAGCGAATTGCTTCATCTTGGGGCCCTAACTTCGCAGGTTCAGGTTCTTCAGGAGAAGATGATGGGGCGTCGTGGGCCACATTCGCTCACTCAGTATCCTAAATGGGCTCTGACAGATGCTGTCTGTCAAGCAGGGCTTGCTCGGAATGCTCCCAGCTCTGGGCTTGTGGTTGTTGGCATCAATAATATGCTATCTGGGTTTCCTGGACAGTAGAATTATGTCTCAATGTATCTGCCATTTCTGTAGTTGAATAATCCAAAGTGGGTAAATAAAAATTAATGTTTGGATTTGGATGCTAATTTAGCTTTCAATTGGGTTTGGTTTTGAGTGTTATTGAAATTAATCTGTGTTCCTTGAGCACATTTCATTTATTAGCAAGGTATGGTGGCCCCCAGAATACAACTGGCGATTGCTTGGGGTCAGTTCAGAAAATGGATAATCCATATCAAGATAATGGAAAAGTTTATTTTAAAACCTTTTAATTTAATGACAAAATGATGTCTGAACATTATCTAGACTCTGGAAAGAGAAAAACACTTCAATTAAAATCCTGTCCCCGGGGCCGGCCCAGTGGCGCACTGCGCTAGTGCGCCGCTTGGGAAGCGCGGAGGCGCTCCCGCTGAGGGTTCGGATCCCACATACAGACCGGTTCCCGCTCACTGGCTGAGCGAGGCGCGGGGGCAACACCGAGGGTTGCGATCCCGTTGCCGGTCCCGGTCCGGTACAGGGGCGACACTGAGGGTTGCGATCTGTTGCCGGACACGGAAAAAAGACAAAAAAAAAAAAAAATCCTGCCCCAAACAAATTAGTTTTCTTTTGTCTTCACTTCTTTCTAGATCTGGTCCATTTGCATGTATAGACTTTTTTTTAAAGAATGTTACTAAGTATGGAACAGAGTTCGAACTCCTGGTGAAACACTATTATTTTAGGAAGAGCTTGGGCTTTGGAGCTGGGCAAGCTTTGATTCAAATTCTGACTCTGCAGCTCAGTAGCTGTGTGACATTGGGCAAGTTACTTAACCCTTCTGAGCCTCTATTTTCAACTTTTCAATTTTACTTCAACTGTAAAACAGGATTGATAATTCCTATCTATCATGGTTGTTAGAAAGACTGAGATACAGCAATACAGGATGTGAATCACAGGTGACACACCTTTTAATTTCTCTTTGAAGTATCTGACTTTTCCAGGGAAAAACTTCTTCCTTTGGGGCAAGCTGATCTTTGACTCATCACTGTTGATTGTTAGGCATCCCTTATAAAGAGAGCCAGCACTTGACTATATCCAATACGCCTTGCCTTTTCTTTTCTGTTGTTTATTTTTATAGTAGCAAGGCACACTGGTATTCCATTTCCTGTAGTGATACACATTTTTATTTATTTATTTATTTATTTATTTATTTTATTTATTTATTTTTTTGTGACCGGTAAGGGGATCGTAACCCTTGGCTTGGTGTCGCCCGCACTGCGCTCAGCCAGTGAGTGCACCGGCCATCCCTATATAGGATCTGAACCCATGGCCTCGGCGCTCCCAGCGCTGCTACGCTCCCAGCACCGCACTCTCCCGAGTGAGCCACAGGGTCGGCCCGTGATACACATTTTTTAAAAATTAACTTATTTAAGTTAAAAGTGATTAATAATATAAGAGTGCTGTAGCTAAGACAGAGAATATGCTGATGGCTTATGGGTTTGAATCCCGGCTCTGCCACTTCCAGGCTGTGTGACCTCAAGTGGGCCATTGAATGTCTGAGCTATGGCTTCCTCATCTTTCTAATGAGGACAACACAGTATTATCTCATGGTGTGGCTGTAAAGTTTAAGTGAGATCATATAGTAAGAGCCCTTAGAACAGCATCTGGAACATGGGGCAAAGTACCATAAAATTGTTAGCCAGAGGGTTTTCTTATGCAGACAACTGACATTTAGGAATCACAGAGCTGGTATAGTAAAGTGCAGCATGTCTGCCTTAGGACAGTGGACAATAAATGGTAGCTGGTCTATTGTTTTGATTATTTAAGAATGATGATGTTAATAGTAGTTGTAATAATAAACCAGGAGGTAGCATTTGTTGTTTCAGAAATTAATTTCTTATGGCATAAACTCTCGGGCAACTGAATGGCATCCATTGAGACTCCACTGTTCAAATGCATCTGTTGCCTTTGTTGGACTCTCCTAGGCCAAGCCCAGCATCCGGTGCTTCATTAAACCCACTGAGACGCTTGAGCGGTCCCTTGAGATGAACAAGCACAAGGGCAAGAGGCGGGCGCAAAAGAGACCCAACTACAAAAATGTTGGGGAGGAAGAAGATGAGGAGAAAGGGCCCGCCGAGGATGCCCAAGAAGACACCGAGAAGGCTAAAGGTACAGAGGGTGGTTCAAAAGGCACCAAGACGAGTGGGGAGAGTGAAGGTGAGTGTCCCTGTGAACACCACCCTGTGTGAGGCCACCCCCTATGTCCATCCCCCATGTGTGTCCACTGGGTGCTTCTAGTCATTCCTGCATAGGTGTACCTCATTCTGAACAGCCAGCCATTGGGAAGCAGCTGAGGGCTGCATGTCACACAGATGCAGTACAAGTCCCACCCTCATCAGAGGGGAGGATACTCCAGGAAAAACCTGGAACAAAGCTCTTCATGCTTAACCCTGTGCCTCGGTTTCCTCTTCTTTAAAAAGGGGGTGGCAAATAGTACCTACTTTGTAGTATTATTGCAAGAATTCAATGAGTGAATATGCATAATGTGCCCAGAACAGTGCCTGGCCCATGTTAAATGCTGTATAAGGATTTGTTGCTGCTACTACTGTTGCTGTTACTATTATCATCATCTTAGGGCTGGCTGATTAGCTCAGTTGGTTAGAGCGCAGCCTTATAAAATCAAGGTCATGGGTTGGATCTCATAAGGGTCAGCTGCCAGAAGAAAAAAAAATTACCTTTATCATACTGCTGTTGCTATTCTTGATAACCTGAGATTATTATTTGTGCTTAGTGCAGTATGAGAAGAAAGGCAAGACCATGTTTAATGAAATTATGTTTTTAATAGATTATGTTTTTTTAAATCAAATAATCAAATATAATCCTCTAGATTCTTACATTGAGATTTTTTTAAAAGTCCTGTCGTTTAGGGTGAGGTATACTTGTGCGGGCTGCAAATGTACTCTATGAGCATTCCTCTCTTTGTCCTGGTCAGGAATGATTCGGGTTGACTTTTTACCTCCCTTTAGATGCTAAAACCTTCTGGACAGCATTTGCTCTGGGATAAAGCAAACTTGAACTGTCCAGTTGCTCGTGTCATGGGCCAGGCTCACAGCCTGCAGATGGGGTCTCTGGCCGCCGCGCTGGGGTTAGGAGGTGACAGGGATGCTCAGTGGAAGTGGGGTGGGGCTCTGCTCACTGGAGGGAAGGTCCAGCCACACCTTCTGGGACAAATATATGTGACCCACCTGTGGTCTGCTGGGGTGTGAGGAGCGCTTCCTGCTGGCTGCCTCCTGGGCCCTGGGCTCACAGTGGTTGCTCTGAAGCCAGTTCTCCCAGCCGCATCAGAGGGACCGTGGGCATCCCCAGGTCTGGGCATGTGAAGCTGTAACACAGAGCTGTTCGCTGAATCAGTGGCTGGGCACTCATTTGCCATTCTGTGGCCAGCACTCACCCCCGCCCCCACCCTCCTGGCCCCATTACCATTTTCTTTTCAGTTATCAGTGAATGCCATGATCACATTTCAATAAGTGAAACCAAAACATCTCTCTGGTGCCACCCGGACCTCTTTTCAAGGCTGAGATCCGTAGCATCCTTTTATTTGTGTTCAAAGTATGCAGTAAACATCTTGGTTTAGGAATTCTTTTTTGGTCTGGGAAAGCTTTGCCAACAAATATCACTTTGATGGGGATGTGAGGGGCAAAAAAAAGGTAAGCCATACTTATTTGCTTATTTGGGTCATTTTGATTTTTTGTTGTTGTTAATGTGGAAGAAAATTGCCTGTTTAACCGTGAGTTCGCTGTTCTATAGCCAAACGGGGGAAAATGAATATCTTCACTTCATTTTGCACACTGCGTTCTTGTCAATTTTGTTTTGGAAAGATGCTATACTTCTTTTGTTCCAGTCCTTTTAAGGGATGCTCTGTAAGTAGGCCTTGGCCTTGACTAACAGTGGTATGGACAGGACAGGGTTGGCCCAAAACACAGTCAAATTAGGCAGCCAGGCAGCCCAGTCCTGGCGCATGGGGCTTCAGGCCGGTTCGGCAAGGCTGCCGTTTCAGCTCTAACTGCTTGGATTGCAGTGGGGGCTTCTCAGGATCCTGAGCCCAGCTGCCCTGTACAGGGCACAAGGGGAGGAATTTTTACCAGCCTCCAAAAGCGTGTTTTCCAGGTGGTTAGTCAGCCAGATCATGCCAAATAGGGCCCAGGAATTTCCCCAGAGGCTTTTCTTGGGCAGTTGGTGCTGACTTCAGAGCTTGGTCAAACATGGCTTTCAGTGACCCCCCTCGGTAATTTTGGTGCCCTGCTGACTTCTTGAATGCATTAGTCATTCCAAAATATGATGGGCCTGTCTTCTTCCCACTCAACTCACCATAAATAAATTCAACTTTCACAGGCCTGTCCTGCTGGGCAGCAACAGTTGTATTCTGGAGTTTTCCGAATCGTGTATTTGATCTCTTAGTCTCATATTCAAAGGTGCAATTTGTGGGTATTCTTTCCTTAGACTGTATCTGTGTATGGGTGAAATTGAACAGCTGTTAATTCTTGTGACTTGGAAGGATGTCAGATACATTTCCTCATTCACGTTGCAAACCAGAGGACAGCATAGATAGGGGAGGTGCCTAGAAGATGGGAGATCTGCCTCGTGGGCCTGTCTCAGAGTCTAGGTTTACTGTGTGCCTTGTACTGTGTACTGCATTGCCCCATATGGGAATTATAAGTATAGAAGATAGAACTCATGTGGTGACTTTTTTTTTTTTTTTTAAAGATGACGGGTAAGAGGATCTTAACCCTTGACTTGGTGATGTCAGCACCACGCTCTCCCAAGTGAGTGAACCAGCCATTCCTATATAGGGATTCGAACCTGTGGCCTTGGTGTTATCAGCACCACATTCTCCCATGTGAGTCATGGGCTGGCCCGTGACTTTTTTTTTAATGAAGATTTGTTGGGACCCTTGCAGTTGCAAGACTTAGAGATCCAACTCAGGCTAGCTGAAGCAAAAAGAATGTTTATTGATTGTTCCTGTAACTGGGAGGCTTGGGTGGAGCCTGACCCAGCTGCAGAGATGACCACTGGCAGCTCCAGGCTCACATCTGCCAGCTTAGCTCCCAAGTGGAGAGAGAACGTCTTCTTCCCGGTGGCTGCAGCTGAAGTCCAGGGGCTGGTACTCGTTGGTGCTATGGGCCTGGCTTGTGTCCGTGCCCCCCAAAGATGTTCCAGGCCGATTGGCCAGACCTGGGTCATGTGTCTGCCCTACGGTGGCTCCCTCAGTAAAAAATGAGGTGTGTTTATCAGAATCAAGGGGGCATGGATGCTGGGCTAGCAGAGACAGCAGATTCTCCCCCAGAAAGCCACACTGGATTTCTGGGTACCCACCCATCTCTCTCATGGCCATCTTCTCCAATCCTGTTTTGAGGTGGAAATGTGGCTATTCTCTCCTCCACATTATTTCTTCTCTTGCAAGTTTCCTTCATTGTTCCTAGATCTAGGGACTTGTTGACAGCCTGCTTGTAACAGACATGGGTGACTGTTTAGTGAGGAGATGCTCTCACCAGTTCCCCCCTGCATACCCTGCCACCCCCATTTTAGTAGTGAAATCTTTACTTTAAAAAGGTGGAGAAGGGCTGGCCTGTAGCTCACTTGGGAGAGTGTGGTGCTGATAACACCAAGGCCACAGGTTCGGATCCCTATATAGGGATGGCCGGTTAGCTCACTTGGGAGAGCGTGGTGCTGACAACACCAAGTCAAGGGTTAAGATCCCCTTACCGGTCATCTTTAAAAAAAAAAAAAAAGATGGGGTAACATATGTGAGTAAAGAAGGCATGTGGTCATGAGGCACAGTTTTGCTGTGACCTGATTTGAATGTGGCATTAATTTTTTTTTTTTTTAATAAATGCAGCACCCAGAATTCACACCTCCTCCACATTTAAACCCAGACAAGGAAGTTGTGTGAAATGAATGTGTGCCCCTGACCCATCCACTCCTGTCCCCAGTTGGCAAAGAAATTTGCTCTACCTTAAGTCCCAAGTAATGGGTGACTCATTCTGAAACCAAAAATCACAGGGCCCTAAATTTGCAGAAATTGAATACTAAAAGGAAGATAGGATGTTATATATCCTGTAGCCAAAAAAGTGTTCCCTCTGCCCGAAAAGCCAAACACCGTTAAGGTGCATGCTTGCTTCTTAGCCTGCCCTTCAGTCTGAAAGGACCGTCATCTCTTTTTGGATTCACTTAAAGCAGTAACTTAATAAGCAGACCCGAGACAAGAGACTGAATCATTCAAACTCCTCATTTGAAAAATACGGCTTGGTTTTTGTTTTTTGCCTGTGGAAAAAGTAGACATTAATTGCATGGCCTGACCTTCAAAGCATGCTCTTTTCTTGGAATTCCAGCCAGGGCATGGAGTGAAGAAGGCAGCAGGACTAACCTTGAACTTGCCCGCTCAGCTGGGATTTGAGTGATACCAGGCAGTTTGGAGCCCCAGCATTGCCTTTTTTTTTTTTTTAAGTCTCTGTTAAAATGAAATGGAATCCAGCCTCATTTCCAGCTGCTCTTGCAAAGCCAGAGCTAACCCCAGGCCTGGCAGTGTTCTGACTGGGGCGAGCCCACCACTCGCTGTTGGAGGTTGCCTTGCCCTTGAGCATCTCTGTGACATTGAGCAAGTCACCACCCTCTTTGTGCTGCTTCTCCTGTAGAGGGAGCTTCCTAATGCCCAGCCCTCAGGTTGTCCTACATGAGAACTTCGACACTGCAGTGTTTAGTATGTGATGGGGGTCACTGAACAGAGACTCTGGCCAAGGAGGGCAGAGTGAGGAGCCCAGAGAGGCATTGGAGCTTGATTGGGCAGACTGTGCTTGGGTACTCCAGTGAGTTTCTTCAGGGCCCAATTCTCTGTTAATTTCTATAACTAATAAGTGAAGCGAGCGAGTGAATGGGTGTGTGTGAGTGTGAGAATAGTGGGAAGAGAGGGAGGAGGAGGAGGACGGCGGGGCCACTGTGGGGCTGCTGCTTCTCTAATTGGCTTAACTAGGCTAGGGAGGAGGACTGAAGGTGACCTGTGACAAATCCCCTGAAGAGCAACTGCCCAGGAGACCATGCTGAATTCAGTCTCCTGCTTTCAGAAGATAATAAAAAAGAAGGGAAGGGGCATGCAGTACTCGGCACAAACAGAC